TGGTTTTTCGAGACAGGGTTTCTCTGTGTAGTTTTGCGCCTTTCCTGGAGCTCACTTGGTAGCCCAGGCTGGCCTCGAACTCACAGCGATCCTCCTGGCTCTGCCTCCCGAGTGCTGGGATTAAAGGCGTGCGCCACCACCGCCCGGCGCGTTTTCAATATCCTTTTTAAATGAAAAGTTGCACCCACTCAGGGGGCACAGAACTGCAGATATGTGGGACATTAGATGGCACATTGCACAGCTTCCTGTTCATGTACAGTCCTGGAAGGTTGAGGCAAAAGCAGATATCATAGCATGGGGACCACAGGGTGGGAAGGAAGGGAGGAGACTTTGGGTAAAGGGGGAAAGGGTCAGAATGGAGGAATCAGGAAGAGAAATATAGCACAGAAATTTATCTGCCAAAGTCACCAATAGAGGTGCTTTCATGTTTCTTTCTGCTTTCAAGTGTGGAAACTGAAATGGCCCAATAGAATTCCAGAACTGGTGAGGAGTGACTGCCACAGAAGTGAGCCAGAACTGATCTCCAGAGTGCCAGCTCTCTCCATCCTAGGACAACAGTCTCCTGCCTGCATTCATCCTCCAGCTATTGGGTCTGAGCTGCCACTTTGCATCTCTTTTAGCTTAATCCAGGTTCAGAACTCTTGTGGGACAATTGGGGGTCATAAAGCACATGGACCCCAGGACCCTCTACCTTCCTAGTTTTGGTTGTGCTTGTAGGACCACTCACACTGCATGGAAAACAGCAGCCTCTACCACCAGGAATGACTTTATACCAATCTAGGCTGCTCATCATCTTGGTCATTTTAACCCTCCAACTTACTCTGTAGACTGCCTTATGGACAAAACAGCAAGACCTGTGTAAGTCCTCTGGAGAATGGAGGTGGGTGAAGGAGACAAAGAGGACTAATTGGCAAACAATTTTGAGACAGGAATAGGGGACATGAGAGGTGGTGTAGAATAAGGAGTAGAGTCTGTTCTGAGGAACTTCGGGTCAACAAAGTTACATGAAAGAGATGTGTGTATTTTTACCTGTGACAGAGGCCATGCACAGTCTACAGCAGGAACAAACCTCCCCTGAACTGCAGACTGGGAGGGAGCTAGAAATAGCCAGCAATGAGGAGGAGAGGGCCTGCTCTGATGGTTCCTAGCATGTGTCAAGACACACAAGTAGGATGCTGTCTTGCAAATAACATCCTGTTCTCTCCTACAGATCTGGGGTGTAGCAGGAGAAAGATGCAGCACTATTGGTCAGTGGAGTCCAATCCTCCTCAGTGCTGAGTAAGTCCTGTCTGTTGAAGTCACAAGGAGAGACACTTTCTTTATTCTTTTGGGTTTTATTTGGGGAAAGTGAAATGGTCTACTTGAACTACAGTCTTGGTGTGGTGTAGTGCAACAGGAAGGCTCCAGGCTGGAAATCTGTGTCCTGTGTGATGATATGTTAGGGCTACAGGTTCCAGTATCCATCCTCCAGGTAGAGGGTCTCAGCTGCCATCTTCCCCATCCTTCACCTCACTGCTGCCCCTGCACTGTTGTTGAGCATCCCTAAGAGTCACATGTAGCATTGACCCAATGAATGTCTACATCCTTCATGGTTCCTGTGGGACCAGGGTTCCATGGTATCAAAAAGGGCTGCCTCTGTCAACAGGACAGACTTGCACACAGATCTCAGGCTTCCCTCTTCTTTGATTCATTCATCACCTCCAACTGCTTTCTGACTGTCTTCAGAAGAACTGCAGGAACTGTAAATCCACTGGGAGATGGGAGAATGGAGATAAGGGGGAGGAACAGGGGAAAGGAGGCGGAGAGGATCAAGAGGGAATGAGAGAACCTGTAGAGAGGGTAGAGTCTGTCCAGAGGAGCTTACCTGAAATGAGTCAGGAGAAAAGGATGTTTTTCTGGGTCAAGGGTCTTGAAGAAGTGAGACCAGGAACAAATGTCTCAAACAGAGTGGGGTGTGCCCTTGGGTTTATTGCCAGCCATGAGGAGGAAAGACCCTGCTCTGATGGTTCCTGGCATACGTCAAGGTAGAGAACTATGAGGCTGCTTTGAAAAGGAATTCCCATTCTGGGCTACTGAAGAAGGGTCTGGCAGCAGAGAAGGGTGGCTCCATCATGCAGTGGAGTCCTCTGCTGCTCCTGTCTGACATGTCCTTTGGCAGATCTGATGATGTCTATGTCTTTGTCTCTATAGCCCCCTTCATCCAGGATTCCCTTGCTGTCTCCCACCTCCTGATCCAAGAATCTTGCATCATTTTCCAATCTCTTGGAGGGATTTATAACTGACATTTGACCTTACATTAACTTTGTTCTGCTCCAATGTGGGAAGGTAACTAGGCCTCGCCAGGCCTGATACTGGGTATTGCCTTTACAAGACCAGAACATGGGACTTCTTTATGATCAATGCTTCACCATTGGGGTCAGACTTACAAGGAAACCTTGATCATCATGGATCTCTTGATGACAGGCCCTGGTGCAGTGTGAAGCATTGGTTGAGTGTAGTGTCTGAACTGTTTTCCAGGACACCTTCCAGGTAGGGAGCAGCTCACTGAGTTGGCCAGGGGAAATGAAGTCAACAGGGACTACAGGGTACTAATCTGTGTGAATCATGCCCCTGAAGGTACAGTTGAGTACAGTAAGTATCTGTTTGTGGTAGAAGACAAATCTCTGAAGCCTGGTCTTGATGTGGTGAAAAGGATCCCATGAAATAGCATGTGCCAGCATCCCTGACACAAAGGGAAAGTTATCATTGACTTGCTCAACTGAAGAGCAATGGGAGACTGAGAGACTGCAGAGGTTGACAAGGGAGGAACCAGCTTCTCTGCTGTAGTTGGCCTCCAGTTCCACTCAGACCATCTGACCCTGGGCTGTTAGCAAACACTGATGCAAACTAGAGTCTGTGGCCCGAACTTCTTCCCAGTGGATGATGGCCAGCTTGTGCTGTCACTGACTTCTAGAACCCTGACCATCTGGAGAGTTCCAAGTGCAGAGAACAAGATCAGTCAGTTTGTTCAGGAAGAGAGAGAAATTTTCAATTTGTGGGTATCACCTGGTGTCAGACTGTGTTTCTGCTGCATATCAATGAAAGCAGGGCTGAGAAATGGTTCACGATTCTGTTGAATTCTAGAAATGAGATAGGAAAATTTCCTAAATCCTCATTTTATATTTTACTTTTTTTGAGACTGGATCTCATTATATAGCCCTTACTATCCCAACACTCTTTGTGTAGAACACAAGCTCTCAACCTCAGAGAGATTGACCCCTTTCTCTGCCTCCTGAGTGCTGGGGTTACAGATGTGGACTGCCATGCCTGGCTTCAAGTACTGTATGTATAGCATCAATGGTAAATTTCTCAAACATGTGAGGGAAAGGAGACACGTTCTGTGCTTCTTTCATCCTAACAGGTTCAGGGATTGAACTGAAGGTAATGTCATCCAGGATGGACTACAAACAGCAGCAAAGTCCAAATCTAACCTTCAGAATAGAAGTCTATGTCCACCAGTGAACAGATACCTGGAGGTGAGAACTGCTGTCATGAATTCTTCTGGGGACCCCAGTCAGTGGGCTGGAGGAGGTATGCACTAGCTGATACATCCTTGTAAACAAGGCACAGAGCATGCAAAGGATACTCTCTAATCCTTTTTCACAGTATCTCCACCTGCAGTCCAGTCACAAATCCCATGACCTCACCCTGACCAATCAGGAGAGTCCAGATTGGCTACCTGGTCTGATGGATTGAGTTCTTTCCATTTGAGCCCTGTGATCACAGCTGAGGACTCAAGGTGGGTCACTGAGACAGCTGGTGCCTGTCTTGGGATGTTGGAGGCAGGGCTTTCACTTTAAGGACACAAGTGGCAGAGGCAGTACATGAACCCACATATTCTAAATAGGAGCTTCCAGTTCTACTCATCTGACACCCAGATTCTGTCTGCTTGTCTGCTGACTTCCATGGATACTCTTGCTCATGGGTCCCACAGCATTTTTGTTACTTGTCAAAACCACTTTGGGTTGGTTTTAGGACACTGAACCTTGTTCATACTCCCTGGTTAATGGAGAGCCCAGGACTGTAGATTTCTGGATTCTGAACCAACTAGGACTAGACAGTGTGTGATTAGCACACTGTGATAGCAGAGGTGATCAGCCCCTTCCAAGAACATTGTGGACAATTCCAGGAAGACCATTGTCCTATTCCATGTCCTGAGCGTTCTGTTGTTCATGTTCTGACCCTTATGACCTGCACATTTTGCATAGGAAAGAAAACAGCGATCCTTGTCTTTTGGGACAAGCTTGTCACACATAACACAGTCATCCTCAGTTGTATCTTGTAGCTGTAGTGCCCGCAGTACCACCACCCATTTACCATGTCCGAGCAAGGGACTATGGATCAAAAAACAGAGACAAGAGACAGCAGGTCATTCACCTCATCAGAATGTCAAATGCCATTTATTGAAAGAGGCAGGAAACCATAAATACAGGCTTACAGCACAATGGAGGGACCCCAGAGGGCAGAACATTGCTACTGAATGTTCTACATTCTTGCATCTAAGCTGTTTATACCAAATGCAGGATACACGAACAAAGAATCTTCAGTGAACATTCAGGAAGAAGGAAACCGTCAGGGAGTCAGCATAGGGAGGACATATGTTCAAGGTCAGCAACCAAGGCAACAGCTACCCAAAATGGGGGGCCAGGGCCCTACAGGTACCTGATTTTTACTAAAAATGAGCTTTTGACTTAGGCTGTGTGAGATGTCAGCAGGTCACCTTACCCATCATGGAGACACCTGCCCCTGCTACACAGGAACTCTGACTTAGGTTGGTGAGCACCCGCCAGGCATTACCCATCTCTGAATTCTCATTATCATACAGGATGAACCATGTGTGAGCTGCAGAGTTAATTGTTGCCAAAGATCTCAAAGTGGCTCTGGGCTTGTAATCTGTACGACATAGAAAAGACCAACAGAAATCTTAACCCACCCATAGCCAGTAGGCTAAGGGCAATTGAGCCATTCCCTTCCTAAACAAGCCTTACTGCAAATTGGAGTTCTTGTAAGATGGTATCCCAAAAGCAAGTGGAACTTGAGTTTCATAAATTTTATAACTTTTAACACTAATCAAAATGCATATAACTGTTGAATTAAATTTATCATGCCCGATAGAAAGGAAGGTTAATTAACTATGGTAGCTACTATTGCTGCCAGGGTTTCCATTGTGCTAGCTGTAGTAACCAATTATGAAATAGCAATCCCAGAAACAGTAGCAGCAGTGGCCACCACCACTATAACAGCAACAAGGCAGCAGCAATGTCAAATTCTCTTCTGGAGTGTGTGAGCATCATCTGTGTCTTACTGCCACGGTCCACTGGCACGGACACAGCTCTAGGACATGAACCACCAAGGCCCATTTTCTTGATCCCAGCACCACTTAAGCTGGCAACTCTTCAAAAGAACAACTAAGAACCACAAAGGAAAAACTGACAGCACACAAGGAGCAGAACTAATAGTCTCATAATGGCTACATTCAGGCTCACAAATTTTAAGGTATCTTTAAAGGAGGCTAGATGAATTTCAGGAGGCCAATAAATGTTGCACAGAGCCACTCCTTAAAAGGTAGGTACTACACCAGCTTGAAGAGAATTGTGAAAATGAAAAGGCTTAGCTGGCATGTTACTGTTGGAAGTCAATGACCTTCAGGGTTATCCTTAATCTCCAAGATGTCTGGGTGACATGTTTTCAAATGTACTTGAAAAAGCAGTTACCATACATTACTGTTTGTAGAATCCAAACACATGGCTGCAGTTCCCAAGCTTATGTTAATGCTTGCCAAGGTTGGCCATATTGGGCTCTCAATCCACATTGGCATCAGAAGGGGAGAGTTTTTCCCGAAGGCCCAATAGGTCTCTGCCATGTTGGGATTCAACAGCAGCCACAGGGCACACACAGCGCTGAGGAACCCAAAGAGGAATCTCATTGTTCTGTGGAAAGGCACAAACAGAACCCTGGGCCCACACCAACAACTGATTGAGTCCCCTCAAGTGCCAGTAGAAAGATCCTTCCATTGCATCAGAGGAAGTTTTGTAACAGGAACCCTCCAGTGCTTATCTGTAGCAGATACACCAGCAGAATCCCTGATAAAAAATTTAAAATATATAAAACAAGGGAAAGAATAAAATGTGGAGAAGAGAGATGAGCCCCTAGCTCCCCCCTTTTTACTTTCGAAAATATGTTTTTAAGGTATGATGGCAGCATTATGCTATAGCCTGTCCTTGAGGATTATAAGGAATACTAGTCTTATTAACAATAGAAAAATCTTGGCAGAATTTTGAAAATCCCGTACTGCTGTAGGTGGGACCATTATCAGTCTTTATGTATTTTGGCACTCCCATATAAGCAAAAGCATGAAGACAATGATTTTTTATATCTTTAACCTTTTCCCTTGAATGGGCAGAGGCAAAAATTAGAGAGGAATATGTATCAATAGACACATGGACATACTGTAATTTTCCTGAAGAAGGCACGTGACATCCATCTACCACACATGATTAGGTAAAAGTCCTCAGGGATTAACTCCCAAATGAGGAACAGGTAAAAATTCAGCACAAAGAAGACATGATTTAACTATCTGGATGGCTTGTTTCTAGATTATGCCTGTGTGATGACGAAGAGATCCAGCATTAAGATGATAACATTGATGCAACTGAGTTGCCTTTTCAAAGGCAGAACAAATTAATATGACAGCCATATGAGTAATGGCATCAGCCCTCTGATTACCTTATGTAGGCTGTTGTTTTTAAAGGCATAATGTCATGTGTCACATATGTTATCAGTATAAATATTTACACATTATTAGAAAACATCTGTAAAGCAAGCAACAGTGCTTGTACCTCCACCATCTGGGTGGAAGTTTCCTGGACTTTTATTCTCTTTACTATGTTACCAGAAACCACCACAGCACAACCACGTGAAGTGTCATCAGTAAATATCATATGGACCTGAGGAATAGGAGTCATCTGTACTATCTTGGGAAATATAACAGGATGGAATTTAAAACATTGACACACATCATTGGAGGGGTAGTGAGTATCAAACTGACCCTCCATGGAGCATGTCAATATGGTCCAATCATAATCATTATCTTGTAACCATGTTATTTGAGACTGGGTGTAGGGGGTTACCACAATATCTAGCTCCTTACCAAAAGTCTGAACACTTATCTTAATTCCCTTAAATATAATCTGAGCAAAAGCCTGGGGATAAGGAGTAATGGTTTTCACTGGAGAAGCTGGGGAATGTACCCATAGAATAGGGCCTGTTTGTCAAAACACTCCAGTAGGTGAATGAGAAAAACAAAATATTCGTGACCTAAATAATGATAGGGAAAGGATACCTGTACCTTTTTTGGGGCTATTTGTAAATTAGTCAGGCTAAGAACCTCTTGTAATTTAGAAAAGGCATCAAAAACAAGTTTTTTTATCTTTAGCAGCCAATAAAATATCATCCATATAAGTTAATCACAATTAAATGTCAATGTTTAGGAATTGCCACAGGGGCAGGCAAACCAGGCTGTGTTGCTTCCATGAGAAACATGGTTTTATTTACAGCTCTAAGATCTTGTAATAGCCTCTATTTTTTTGACTTTTTGTAGAGGCCAGTTGGGATCTCAGTATTCTTGTGAAATTATAGATATACCCAGCACCAGAATCTAATAATCTTTTTATCTCAATTCCATATAATTTTATTTTTAATTTAGATTATTTATCATTGATAGCTGTTTGTCAAAGTACCTTTTTTGTACTTTTAAAGTCTCTAGTTTTACATATAGGTGCCATTTTATATTTAAAATATGAAAGCAATACTAATTGAGCAATTTTATCTTCAGCTTTTATTTTTATGGTCCTTTTTACATATGTCAATTATAAAAGCATTAAATACAATCTTGATAGGATTTGAAGTAATTTTAGGTAATACTCTTTTAGAGTATTTTTATAAAATCTTAAAAAGAGGATACTTTCTTATAAATTTTAAGTAACACATTGGTGTAAATAGCTAGTTATTAACAATGTGGACCAAACAATTTACCTGTATTTTATTTTTTGGAAAAGTAATTTTGTAACCTGTTTATTAGTAAGAGATTATTTTTATGGGTTTACCTTAGCAACAACATTTTTGTTGTTGCTAACATTATTTATTATTTAATAAATTAATAACCCAATTCATTTTAGGTGTTATTTTTATAGAATTTTTAAGAATTTCTAGAAAGCAACTTAAAGAACAGAGCCAAATTTTTAGTAATGATCAACAGACAAGAGCATACCTAATATATAGTTTAAAATTATTAATTCTGTTTTTTAGTTTATCTAACATAAGAATCAAACACTCATCCAAACATTTATTAAGACAATCAAAAGAACAGAACATCCTTTATACAATGAATGATTAATATCCCTGGAAATTCAACAGCATTGACTTATCATTTCATGTCCTGACCGGAACCATTTTTTACCAGAAGTTGGGCCCCTTTGAACTTTTAGCGCCTGTCCCTCCTCAGGCCTCTACTTGTTTGTCTGCCATGAGTCCCTTTCCCTCGTTGGCCTCTTGGCTATGCGAGTACCTGTCCATCCGCTGCCCCAGGCTATCATCACCACACAGGTCTTTGTCCACTGTGCAGGCCCACACACGCGCACTTCTGTTTAAACTTCCCCTTACGCCCATGAATAATAATGAGTTATTCCCACCATAAGGAAAAAACAGAAAAAAATTTCCCATGAAGGGATCCTAAATATTGAATTATTCCTACTATGAGGGAAAAATTAAAAAAATAAAAAAACATTTAAACCAAAGTTAAGCAAACAGACAACAAAACTTCTAACCTCTGGGCTCCCTTGCTTGTTCAGCCAGCAGCAGTGAGGCCCACCTGCCAACTCTTTGTAATTCAGATGCTGCAGCTCTGTGCTGGCAGGCAGGAAGAGCTCCGAGTTTTAGCTTATTCTGAAAATTCTACATTGGAAAGAGCCTTTTCTTTCTCCATTAACACTGGGAAAAGGCTTTTCTCTTTCCTTCATCCTTCCTCTATAGGACCCCAAAGTCTTTGGGCCTAGTTTCAAAATTTTCCCCCTTTTTACCGGGAAAATCTTTTTTCTTTTTTTAATTAAAAATTTCTCCCTTTTCTAATGGACACTTTCCTTTCCTTCCCTCTTCTCTATTTAAAGATTTAAAATCTTTAGCTGTCTTGTCTTTACTGGTGGTGCCCTATTGCACCCATGACAATTTACCCTTACCTTCTCTTTTCTTTAAAATGCTGGCCAGCCTCACTTTCAGGTGTCCGTCTGCGACATCCCTTCTTTCTCAGATCTCGGTGGAACCTCCATTTGTAGCAGGAGCTCCCGAGCTACCACCACCTGTTCACCATGTCCCAGTGAGGGGCTGTGGATCAAAAAACAGAGACAAGAGACAGCAGGTCATTCGCCTCAGCAGAATGCCGAATGCCATTTATTGAAAGAGGGAGGAAACCTTAAATACAGGCTTACAGAACAATGGAGGAACCCCGGAGGGCAGAAGTTCGCTATCTAATGTTCTACATTCTTGCATCTAAGCTGTTTACACCAAATGCAGGATACACAAAGAACCTCTGGTGAGCGTTCATGAAGAAAGAAACCAGCAGGGAGTCAGCATAGGGAAGACATCTGTTCAAGGTCAGCAAACAAGACAACAGCTGTATCTGTTTTCTGAAAAATGTCTAAATTTCATTCACTCTTGAGGGTGAGAATGTGCTTTTTACCCTGTATGCTCTTCATTTATTTATTTCATCTATTTATTTACTTATCTCATTACTGAGTAATTTATTCATTTATATATTCATTCTATGCCTTTTATATTGATCACATTCATGATCCCATCTCTTCATACCTGCCCTCTACTCTTACACCTGCCCCAATAAAACAAAATTTAAGAGAATAAAAAGGGAAAGTAAGATAAATTTTAAAAAGGGGAGACTTAAAAGTTTCCTTGTGGAAGCTGCAGTGACCGAGTGTGACACAGTGAGTCACAGTGTAAACCTTCTGTCCACATGTCTTCACTTTTAAGTGCTCATTGCAGAGTCACTGGTCTGGTTACAAGCCTCAGGTGTCTACTACACTACTTTTGCTTTTGGGACTGTCATCTGGACTGTGTAATTGGCACATTAACTTGTTTCACTGCATGGAAATGCAGATTTAAAACTCTGACTTCAAAATCACCAGTGCCACAGTACAAATCCACTTCTAAATAAAGTGACATAGTTAAGCTGGAGATGGAGAGCAGAAGATGAGACCCAGACATTGCAGAGGCATCAGGAAAGAATTGGCTAAGGGAGGAATTTGGAGAGGATGGAAGAGAAAGAGTGGAGGAGCCATGGGGAGAAGGATGCACAACAGCTTTAGCTTAAGGGCTGCATATTTCAAGTTTCCTTAAAGTCCCTTCACATGTCCTTCCTCTTTAAAGTGATGAACTCTCTACATCAGGAGACACAAGGTGGCGACTTTCAGGTGTGGCCTGAGACAGCAGAAGTAGGAGCTCTGCAGGAAGTCCAGATGGCAGTGTGCCCACTTCCCCAGCATGAAGCGTCTGTGTCCAGTACAGGAAGAGGTAAGCCAGCTACCACAGGTTACTCTCCAGGAAACACTAGTTATCAAGGATCCAATGCTGGTGTTTCACAGCATCAGTCTGTGAGGCAGACTTTAGCCAATACCAGGTACAAGCTACCCTTGAACGTGCAGACTCTGTGGACTAGTCTGCAGTGGAATAACTAGCAGTAATCATTAATATGTCCACCCTTTAGGTTTCTGATCCTAGTGAAATGTTTCCCCACATGAGGGAAAGTGACCTCCTTCCTCTCCTTCCTCTTCTTCCTTCTCTGCTGTTGTGTTTGCAGCCTTCATTTATCCCTGTGTCCTGAACATCAGAAAAGACACAGTTACACTGCATGCTGGTCTAGTTTATGTGTTTGTGAAGGGGCCTCACTGTAGGGAGTTTCATCAAAACCATATTTGTCTTCTAACAGGGAAGTGACAGCAAGCTGGAGGAAAATGGGTACCACTTCGGATGGAATGCTGGGACATTGCTCCACTTTGGAAGTGAGTAGGCCTTATCTAGCCAAGGGCACAGTGATCAGAGGTGTGGTCAGCACTCTTAAAACTACTTTGTACCCAGGTCCCACTGGGTACAGTGGTCAGGCCTAGACAGCCTTGTTGACCATAGAGCTATGGCTTTCTGCTAGGCTGTCTGCTTGCTTGACCTGCTGGGATAATTGTCTAGAGTGTTGTCAGGTACACCTGACAGGCAGACAGCCTCTCCATGCAGTAAAAGATGGCCATTCTTATGGGGATGCATGTCAAGGCTCATCTCTGGGAAGCACATGGCCGAAAGCATCATTGATACCACTATATAACAGCCTGTAGCAAATGCTAAGTTTTTGGTTTCTTGTCTAAACTTGACTCTGGCTTAGAGGTTAGGCAGAATGAGGCTGACCAGGCAGGCCTCCCTCAATTCCAAGAGTAGGTGGTCACTTAGCTTGTATTACAGAGGACAAGAGACAGATAGATGGATAGATAGAGAAATAGAAACAGTTGATGCATGGCTACAGAGGGATATTGAGATTACTTGGTGTAGGTGGCACATCTCTCCCCTCTGATCCTAACGCTATTGAGAAGGAACAATTTGAATCAAAGATGGTGAACATCTTCTCACACCTCTATGTTGTGACATCCATTCTGTCACTGACCAGCGACTTAGGCTGTGTTGGGCTTCAGAGACTGGGGAATGGGGATTCACACAACCTAGCAAGGGAAAGCAGCCAAGAGACAATGACCTGCTTGCTCCTCAAGACAGCAGCTTGTCTGTATGTCAGTGAGTGACAACTAAGGCAGGCTTCACCCTGATGCACTTAACTGAAACCAGGGCCTGTGGAAGGGAGTCTTGGGTAATGTGGCCAGGCATAGAATCTCTCAGGAGACAGCACATGTGGACCAGGACTGAAAGCCCTGGTAATGATGTAATGATGGTCTCTAAGAATGTGACCCTTAAGAACCAGAGTTGATGCCTAAGAAGCCAGGTGAGTTTAATGTGAACTTTTTATAGCACTGGTGACTGTAGGGAGCATGTGGTGGCCTTTAGATAGTTACATGAGAGAAGTCAGCTTATGATCAGGCTCACACACTCAACACCCTCCTTCCCCAACTGCCTGCCTCCTGGAGGCAGCAGGAACAAGTGCAGACAATACATGCTTTTTGTACCAAGATCTTTTCACACACTACCCCAAAGTTGTTCAGTAATGCTCACTTCCCAGTGGAATAAAGGGAGTCCAAGTGATGCTGGGTAGCTTGCTCTTTTGGACAAAGGCTGACTGGTTGGGACTGTTTAAATTCCTTTCAGGTCATTGACAGAGATAGGATGACTAGTGTGGTAAGAGCCTGGGTCTCTTGTAGTCTCAGAGGCCAACTCCAGAACTCTCATTGACCATCCTTTCTTTCCTCAGATCTGTAGGTTCTGGTGGATATGTTCACTTCATCTTCACCATATGCGCATCCTGTCTCATCTAGGCAAGTGTTCAGTGGGCTGGGTGCAGGAAGCACAGCGTCTAGACACAGACATGTTGGTGAAACTGCGTTTCCTTCTTGATCCTAGAGCCCATTTATGGGACAGTAGCAGAGCAGCTAGGACAAACCAATCCCTGCAATCAGGGCTTCGCAGGGAGAGCCCACTGAATTCTCCCACAGGAAGCCACATGGGAAGAAAAAAGTCATTATTCCTGCCTCATTAGGTACTGAATTCCACCAAAATAAACCAGTTATTATCTGAAAGACCACAGGTCTAGGGTGGTAAATGAATCTTTCTGCCAGCCTCATCCATTATCTAACATAAGTGTTTTCTTTTAGGTGCCTGGCCATATCCTCAATCCTGGACTCTGACAACTCCTAACCTGACTATGTGCACACTGAGCATTAGTGACATTGAGGAAAAAGAGCACCTCTCCCCTCCCCTTCCTGGCAGACTAGCATGTCATTGTCTGAGCTCCAGAACTACTCAGAGGCTCCACACAGCAACAGGAGGACATGCTGTGGAGGACGATGACATGGTTTCTCTGCCACCATCCAACTACAGACAACCACCCCAAATTACCAACAAGCCCTGGGGAATCTACAGGAGCTTCCCTTGTGGAAGCCTCCCAGTGGGTACTTATTGTTGAATCCTGCCCAACTTAGACCCCTTTGCATTTTGACAATTCAGAAAATTAACCTATGCCTCTCTGTCTTCACAGATAACAAAGAAAACCTGCCTGAGCAGGTAAGAAATATCTCAGAAGAACCTTGGGAATTAAATGTGCTTCTCTTTCTGAATTCAAGAGTGGATCTCCAGAGAAGGGCAGTACCCTGTCCCAGGCCTCCACTAACATGAAGAGGCAGAACTTGAGGTCATACATTTGGCGCATTTCTCACTGGTTTAGGCAGAAACAATTTACAAAAAAATACTGAAGTATTTCATTAGAATTTCAACATAATTTCTATAAATTGGCATTCAGAATGCTTTGACCCCTGGAGGAGAGAAATCCAAACAATATGAGCTCTCAGGTTCTACCAGTTGTTATTCTAAAGGTGACAGATATTTGCACTTCATCTATACACTCAGCAAAAACCAGTCTGATGCTCAAACACAAGATTTAATAGCTAATGGAACCTAAACCTAGAAGAGATGGCAGAGGACAGGAGAGATCCCTCCAGACCCAAATCTTCTTCTTCCAGGACTTCCCACAAAGCCTCAGCAATCCATAAAGACCTACATGGGAGTAATGGAGACTGGATATGTGGAACAGAACAGAAAGCTCAGAAACAGACCCAGTGAAATCTTGCCAGCTGATTTTTTTCATAGTCACCCATGGAAATCAAGGCAGAGAGAATGGATTGTCCACAAATCACTGCAGAAGAAGATTTAAAAACAAGCACTAAGGTACCAATTGAAAAACTGAACACAGTCACCATTTCAATTGACCTCAAGTACAAACACTATAATGCTCACATAAAGTTATAGAAGAGGACTACATACGTTCCTGTCTTATAGAAAGGAAGATCAGAAATAACATGGAAAAGATGAACTGTGGACTCAGGAGCCCTGATGCCACCAGCCATGAAAATACAGAAGCTGGAGCATGGCAGGAGCAGGACACTCCCCCAGGACATCTAGAGAGAGCTTGGCCCATGACACACTCCGGCAGACAACAAATCCCTGACAGTGAATGTTGTGTGGCTAAGAGGAGGTGTAGGTGTAGTGTGTGCTGTGTGGTGTGAGGATGGCTGAAACCTATCACATCATGTAGGATGGAGATGAGCTGTCCAGCTGATCTGATAACAGCACTGTATTGATGGTCCAGTCAGCTGGGGAAAGCAGCAGGTCTGACACCTGGATACTCACATGTGCTACCCATGCCCCTCCCCTTGTTAACAACTTACATACAGTGTGAGTGTAAGGACATGAATGACGCCCCTCACCCACACTCACCACAGACGTCTCTAGGTATTAGGACTAGATATTCAACTCCCTTCTGCTGTCCCCCACACAATGCTAGATTCTAGACCAGGCTACACATGCCTCCAACCACAGTGTACTAAGACATGGGGAAAGTGTCCCTGTTGGACACTTGACCTCCTACAAGGACACACAGTTACTGCTTGGTTCAAACACTCCTGGAATCATCCTGCACTGTCATACAACACTAGGTATAATGCAGCATGGGGCACTACAGCCATGCATCCTCACTTGAACTAGCAGCTGTCAGACCATGACAAACAATCTCTACATCAGACACACACACACACACACACACACACACACACACACACACACACACACCCTCTAATACACTTCTAAGTATTGGCCCATGCATGACTTCCCACCAAATCACACATTGACTGCTAGATATCAGGTATTGCTAAACAAACACTCTCACATACCTCTCATGTATTCCTAGGTCTGGATTCAGAATGTGACCCACACATTCCTTTATTAACAGCTTCTTATCAGGTCATACAGGACACTATCTTGCCACTGTATCAAAATACTCTGCTAGTATTGGTCCCCAGTTGACACCCTAATATCACTGAAATTCCACATACACTACTAGGGTTCATGCCCTCTTGAATATCACACCCAACCACTATAATCTACAATATAGCATCAGTGCCCAAAAGATGTCACATTCCATCAACCCATATATCCCTGTTGGATATCAGACCTGCTGGTCATTCCAAACACCATGGCAACTCCTACAAGGCTAGCTGAAGGTCCTGGAATGCACACCTCACCCTGCAGCCCTCACATGCACTGTCAGGTGTCAGGCTCTGCTGGCTCCCTCAGTGCCTCACACACACACTCTGAAGTGTCAAGCACACTTGGACATCACATTGCATACTGCCAACGTACTTCAAAATGTGATCAGACCTTGATGGACACCAGCTCAGCCATGAGCTGACACACACTCAGTAGGGATTGTGCAGAGCTTGACACCCCATTCTTCCACTGCTCCCCTCTGATGATATACAATTAGCATCAAGCACATCGGACACAACACCACCTCTGTGACTACACATCCACTCTAGGTACCAGGTCTAGTTTGACCTCATACCCCACATTAATCGACAGCCATCAGACAATTCTGGGAACTTCTCCTCCTGTCAGGTCTTGCAAAATACCTACCAATTAGCATTGACGGATCCCCTCCTTCTGCTGAAGACACACCCACACTGCTAGGCATTAGCTTCTACTGGACAACTTCCTATGCTATACCATGTGCTGTGTGGTGGCAGCAGTTGGGAGCTGTCTGGATCCATTAGGACATGACACCTAGCAGTCTATGTAGGATTTCTAGCCATGCCTGTTCAATAGTAATATATGTGGAGCAGTGGTGAAGATGATGATGTTATAAAGAAAAGTTTGTGTATGCTTGTGTGTGTGAGTGTGTGCATGTGTGTTTGAACTTGTGGTGAGAGGTCAGAGAGTGTGCTGCATTGTCATGGGGATCGCTGTCGTAGAGAAAATGAATCAGTGACTAGGCAAGTAGAAGCCCAGGGTCAGTATATTATTAATGAAGTTGATCAGAGAAAGTATCTTCAAGACATGGATTTGAAAGATTTGGAAGAGTAAGGGTAGAAAACATGAAATGTGAGGCTTGATGAATACAGGCCTGGGGGAGGAATTTGACTTTATTTTTACTGTACCAAGAAGCCAAGTTTTCTCTTTGCCAACAACACTAGGTATCACCATCTGTATGGTGTCCCCACACCTAAAACCCACCCCCATGTTGCTAGGTGTCAGCTTCTACTCTGAAAAATGTCTTCTACAGCAGGTGCCAAACACACATGCCTAGGCGTGAGGTCCGGTGGGTCAACTGTCCACTAAAGAAAATGCTCCTCTCATACAGTTGGGTAGCTTGTCCTCCACGAGATCAGCAATGCAATGGCGAAAGCCCTATGCACAGGGCTGGGTATCTGGTGTTTCTAAGGATCCCCTTACCTACAGCAGCAGAAGCCATAAACAGACGCCCACATACTATGACACAAGTGTCAGGGGCCAGTATTTATCTCTTCCCATACAACCACATATACATAAATGGTTAGGTCACTTTCCTGATAGGAATCGCCTCAGCTACATCAGTGCAAACACACAGAACTGGGCATCACATCTTGCTGGGCACCTCTTCCCCTACATCCAAAGGACCACACATTTACACAGCTAGTTTTCTAGTACTGGTACCCCTCCCCTATAGTCAATGCCTTGTACACAGCCACACACTCACAAACACACTCAGGCACACATGCTTGTATGATCCCATGCACGTGCTCATGCACTCTCATCTAGCTGTCATGTCAACAAGGTCTCCCCCATTCAGCCAAAGCCCTATTTACACACTGCTGTCAAAGTGCTGCCCTTCTGGGTGTCCATCCCCTGCAGCCAAACACATACACAGAGACAGACAGAGAGACAGAGAGACACAGAGTCTGATGTCAGGTCCTGCTGTTCCCACTCCATAACAAAGCTGTCTACTCAGGGCTAGGTGTCAGGTCCTGATACCTCTTTTTCTATATTCATAGTGCAATATTCTTACACAGCTAGTTTACCAGTATGCACCTCCTCCCCTATAATCAAATGCTAGGTACACACTCACACACTCAGAAACACACTCAGGCATGCATACTCCTTCAAATGCCTTCACGAATTCAGTACACTCTCAGCTAGCTATCAGGTCCTAGAAGATAGCCACTATACAAGGAAAGCCCCACATATACTTCTAGGTGTTAAGTCCAGTGAGGTAGAGGTATCACCCATAGAAAATACAACCCCACAAACACCTCTAGTTGTTAGATCCTGTGACATGTCCTGCATAGAGCCAAAACCCTATTTACACACAGCCAACAAGGTGCTTCTGCTGCTAGGTGTCCATTACTAAAGCTAATCTCTCTGTCTCTTTCTCTCCTCTCCCCCTCTCTCCCTGTCCCTCTGTCACATACACACACATGTATATGTGTACATCTAAGCCCCTGTTCT